AACATATATGATTTCCAGATTTGTGCAATCCCAATTTTTAGGTGTTGCAATTTTTTTGACGAACAGTGTATTTCCCCTAGTGTCAGCTTTGTTCCACCCGATATTGGTAGTTATGTATATCGTTTAGATGTTTTTTTTTTTATGTAATCCTCATGAGATAGCTAATCTTTGCAAATTATTTGTTAAGTTATTTGAGTGGTATTCTATTCCCTGTTTATATCTCTTTGCGAAGTGTGCAATTACTTTTTACTTTCTAAGATCCTCGTTTCTGCAGTGTATCGAAATTTAGATCGATATTTCAAACATAAATTTTATAGAGAAAAGCGTAATCTCCTCTTCGTTCCACAATTTCTCACATTTTTTCTCCATAAAACTTCTTTGTTTTTTCACTAAAATATTTTTCCCTCTCAGACTTGCACGATAATTCAACGCGAGTAACGACGCCGTTATGGATAACCGCGATAGTCGAAGTGTTAAAGTAATATTGAAAATAATCAATGCTGCTCGTCCAGATAAGTTCAATATTCCCGTTGGAATTACCGGTTAACCATGAGTTATTGAGCTTCTTATCCATTTATTAGAAAGCCCCAGCTAATTATTATATTACCGGGGAATATTATGCCACGCGGAAACCAGAACAGACATACGTATTAGTTGCAAATAGTCTGTCCTAACAGCACGGTAATCGGCGATCTCTCGATTAGTTCCAGTTTTTCTTGATCTGGTGCATCAATGCAAAATCGTAAATCAATAGTTAACGTCGAATTAATTCATCTTCCAGTCAGGTCACGCCTTAATTTCCCACAATTTAATTGTCCCTTATCAAATAGTAATTAAGGGTTTTCAGGGGACACTGAGCACCATTTCCCGATTTCATGTTGTAATATACCGACGGTAAATTGTACCCATTAGGGTGATACATAATTCAAAATTAATACGATCCTGTTCGATTAATGGGGCAAAAAAAAAAAATGTCGCCTAACGAGATGTAATAACAGTGAATGAAGGGGAGGAAAGAAATTTTTCATGACGTTGTTACAGGAAACCGTGGAAAATCTGCGTCCGCAGGAAGTCACGCGACCTCCACCTATTTCCACCAGCCCTAATCGTCAGTTCTCTAAAAGTTCTACGCCTAGCGATCACTATTATGGTGTCGAAGTTCCTACCACTCATGAAATTACGTACAACAATGATACGAGATTGTTGGAAGCTAATTCAACATTGTTACCAAGGCCTCAGGAATTTTATTCGCCTCAAATTGCATTACCAACGACCACACAGATGACTACGACAACTATTAATAACGATACCAGAAATACCGAAACGATTTTACAGTCGCAGAATCATGTAATTTCTACGACAACGAGGTGTTTAACAACTAGTACCGATAATGGACAGATGAATGTTAACAGGAAGAACAACTACTTTGGTCAAACGTTGCCTCAATCGCCGCAGAAGCCAGAGATCTCGCATCCTGTTAGTAGATTGTGCGATACGATCGAGTCGAACGATAAAGGAGATCGTTTTGTAAGTGTGGAACCTCAGAAAGTGGTAGAGAAAGAGGCGAGGATCGAGGATAAACTGGTTGAAGGAGTTGTTATCAACAGTGATAATAATAATAACGACGCGATCGTTAATCAAGATGCTGTTCAGCGTGGTAAAGGAATGCAAGAGAATCATAGGTGTGATCAGTGCGGAAAAAGCTTTGTTACCAGGGCGTCTCTGAAGGTACTGATCGATCAAATATCACTTTTATGGGAGATTGTAAGAAAATTTCAAACTGTCAAACTTTCAGAATTTCGAAGTTTCAAGATTTTTAACTTTTAAATTTTCAAACTTAATGCTTTTAACGTTTCAAAATTTCGAAGTTTCAAATTTTTTATTTATCAG